TTTTCAGTCAGGTCAGACACTTTCAATAATCTCACCCCTTTTCTTTGGAAGATTCTAACTGGTGAAAAACAGAAAGACATAATTCACATGGAACTGAAGAATTCCAGTGAATTTTGTTCTCCCAGTTTGATAAATTAGAGTGGACAGAAGTAAAAGAGAAGACACTTTTAATGATTGCTGTGGGAGGACATATATTCGAACAAGTGAAGCTTCTCATGCAAGTTGCATTGTTAAATTAATTTATGCCCACTAATTTTATTAATTCTCTGAAAACTATCTAAACATGACACAAAACCTATCCCTATGAGAAGTTGGTTACCTTTTACAAAAGCTACAATGCATGAGGAAGTGAGCCACTTTGGTCTAGTCATGAGACTGTGAGTTCTAATCCTGCCTTAGGTATATATATATATATATATATATATATATATAAACTCCTATGCCAGAGGAAGTTGCACATGCTGTTCCAGGAAAAACTGCAATGAACTTTAATTTTTTATTCTGAAAAACTGGTTTATTTTCTCCAGCCTGTCCAGTATTTTATACTGTGTGCATTAAATACAATTTCTTCTCACATCTTCTCAACATTATACAGCATGACAGAATTGTGCATTTTCCCCAGATTACTGTTTTTGATTGCACAATTGAAACAGCACAAGATACATCAACATAATAATCAATTAACAGACAATAAGCGATACTGCAGTGCAATCTCGTGTACTTAAACGTCACTCTTTTTTTCAAAGTTTTCTGTCAGGGCCGACTGTAAAGGGGGCGTGACTCTCCTGACTGAAAGTTAGAAAACCGACGAGTTTTCTCATCGACCGTCTTATTCAAACTTAATCTTTCAATCTGAGGTAATTTGTATTCCTGCGTCGAAACAGATGGGATTTTTAAGCTGAAAAGTCCTGGTTTATTGTTCGTCCGATCGTTTGTTTTTTTTTTAACCGTTCAGGTTCTCTCTTAACTGTCCGATGCGGGAAAGAAGCAAAATCACCTACTTGTAATTTTTGTCTTAGGTTATTGGGGTTTTGAAGGGAATTAAAAATAACATATCAAATGGAGTTAAATGGAAATATTGCACGGAATGAGCTTAATAACAATACCTAGCCGCCCATTGGAAGGAAAAAAATAGCTTCTAAATAGATCGTTTCAGCTATATCTTCTCAGGTGCGACGGAGATAATGCAGGACTAACAGGAATTTGTTTGGATTCGACGGAACTTTCTTAGCGCAGTTCTGGATTCAGACACGGAGCCATCACATTAGATGTTTGCATTTCTGTGCGCTGATCAGCTACATTTGGGGCTGATCCTAATAAACAAATTTCCGAGCTCCCAAAATTCTCCATGACGCTTTATTGTATGTTACAGCGGAGGATGTTACCGAAGGTTACAATTGATACACAAGCACATTTGTCATTTCTCCCCCACCCCATTCTATTCGCATTTGTCGGTGCAATATTCTGATGAAATCTAAGAATTCCGAGAGGCATGTACGGTTTGGTGTTGGCATATTTTAGATTTCACGATGCTAATTAATTTGAAATAACTGGGATCCCTATTTTCACTTGTGATCATGAAACTGGTGTGTGAATAAACACTTTAAAAATGAAAGCAAGTGAAGCATTGTTAGGATGCGGTGTCATTAAGAGTCGAGTTCGCCTCAAAGGAGACGTTCCAGATCATATTAACTTGGATTCTGATGGTAAGTTCTAATTGGATTTCATTCAGTAAAACTGGCCAATGAGGGATATACGAAGAAAAGTACTGTAGCAGCAAAAGGTACTATGGCCAGCTTTAAGAAGTATTGGACAGAAAGTCTATATTAAGACTGTAATCCTAATTCCTCATTGATTGTAACAAACCCTCAAACAAGTCTTTCAAGAAACCTTGTAGATTGTGTTGTATTTAATAAAACGGAATGTTTTTAAGTTCACGTTTCAGTTCGGACTCATTTAATCATCTGTATAACCAGCACATTCCTGGTCAGATTAGCCTGCAAAGTAACGTTTAACTGCACTTATAAAAGTACCAATAATGGAGAATATTTGTAGCTCAGAGTTGAAATGATGGATTCTTGGTGATTTCTGAGCTTGGTTGTTTTCTTGCAGATATTTCATTACGTTGATGAAGTTTGGATAATGAAATATCTGCAAGAAAACAACCAAGTTCAGAGAGCACGAAAGACCCCTCACTCATAAAAGTTTAGGATAAAAACAAAGATTTGGGTTGGACATTGAATTAGGTGTATTTATTCAATTTGTACTGCCATCCATCTCAACAAGTGCAGTGTATGTAAATTCAATGTAATCCTAGTCAAAACAGGGAAACAGCTTAAATTTCTACTATATTAAATAAATTTAATCTAAGTACTAGTATAAGTAGTTTATAGCATATATTTTAATGATTCTAATGGAATGTACATAATACCAATAAAGTCTAGCACTATTTTTCCTCTAGAGAATATTAGCAACAATCATAATTAGCAAGAATAACTACACCTGTGCGGAGCATACCAATAAAGTCTAGCACTATTTTTTCCTCTAGAGAATATTAGCAACAATCATAATTAGCAAGAATAACTACACCTGTGCGGAGCAGTGAAGCTAATATTTTTCATTAAAGTAAAATAATAATTAAGACCCACAGGAAAGAAGATACTATACTAAGATACTATACTAAGACCTCTCTCATTAATTTGGAAATTCAAGATCAGTAATAATAATAATAATAATAATAATAATAATAATAATAATAATAATAATAATAATAATAATAATAATA